TACTACTACTACTGCTACTGCTACTGCTACTGCTACTGCTACTGCTATTACTACCACGACGGCTACGACTGCTACTACTGCTACTACTGCTACTACTACTACTACTACTACTACTACTACTACTACGACGACAGCTACTACCACTGCTACTACTACTACTACTACTACTACTGCTGCTACTGCTACTACTACTACTACTACTACTACTACTACTGCTACTACTACTACTACTACTACTACTACTACTACTGCCACTCCGACGACTTCTTCTGCTACTAATATAACTCCTCCTCCACCTCCTCCTCCTACTACTACTACTACTACTACTACTACTATTACGGACGACGACTACTACTACGTAGCGCATTTGCCTCTGATGTCACAGCAGCAATAAACCCACATAGCGACACCGTGACTCCATAACCCCCAAACCCTTAACCCCAAAACCTCCACCCGAAGCCCGATACGCCGCTGTGAATGCGTGCATGCCGATGCCTAGGAATGAAATCTACAGGTCCGTTCCATGCCTTCACGGCAAGCAGGGTTATCCATATCTTGTGATGGAGCTCTTGGCACTCTAGGGCTACCACACTAACCGGGTTTAGGGCTTAGGGGATTAGGCCGATAAGAAATGCTTCATGCGGGTCTCATAAAACTCTATGGCTAGTTCTCTAAATTAGGGTCCCCTTCTAGGTCCCAGAACAATACGGCATGACGGCCCTACGTACAGCTCTTGTAAACAATGTGAAAAGATCATATTACTTCGGTTTAGTAACCCCGAATCTGAAACCTGCTGTCTTCGGTTGTCGAGGTTACTGGCTGAAAGTTCGGGCTGTTTACGGCTTTGAGTCTTCTTTGAGGAGCTCAGGATTTGAAGCTTGGGGCTTGGGGCCCAACGTCGCACATGTAAAGGTTCAGGGGCGCCTGTATAACTCGCTACGGTTTAGGGTTTAGGCTTTAGGGCTTAGGGTTTACCCTGGCCCTAAACCCACTAACACTCCGGAAAGCACTCGTTTGGAGCACCCCTTGCATGATGACAAAGGCGAAGTGCTGGCGCTGGAAGACGAGTTTAGATTCCATTTCAACATGCGACACGATATGATGTTATGTTCTGCTATGTCAAACTACTGCAATTTCTTTTGTGTGGCTTTGTGCTCTGTCGTGTTCTGCAATGCTCTGTTACACAACGGTATTGCGTGTTGTGATTTGTATGTGATGTTGCATTACAATCTATTGCAGTATATTGCAACATATCATCTGGTAGCTCTATATATATATATATGTGCATGTCATATAATATTCTCCTATGAGAAAAACAGCTCACAACTTCTGTTATCTCATATTACACTGCAATGTGCTATTGAATAGTGTGGTGAGTTGGTATATCTTGAACAGTAGCATATTGTATTCTATTCTGTTACATTATCTTATACCATGGCATGATGCGAGACTATGCAAACATGGGTACTGTACTGTGCTTTGACTTTTACTATCCTTTACTATGTATTTCCTATACTTTACTTCACTACAGCATATTCTACTATACTATACTCTACTATACTATGCTATACTATGATATACTTTACTACACTGCGTCGAACTACAACATTTTGTGTTAAGACGCAGTATGTTAAAATATGTCATGACGTACACTGTTGTCTCATGTTGTTTTTGTTTTCTTATATTACAGTATATAAGAGTACACTCATCTTATACTAACATATGTTATCTACATACTATTTTACGTTATCTGGTATTAAACCGCATTCGTTCTGCTTACGCTATCTTCGACTAGCTCGCATTGGCTTTTATTATCGTGTATCATGTCATGTTATATCATATTGACTTGTTGTGCTTGCACTATTACTTTATACAACGCATATATGATCTCAGATTTATTGCATTTCCTTGTACCCTCTTATAACGTCTCACCGTATTTTATCTTATCTTCTACTATACTACACTATACTGGTGTGACTGGTGTGTGTGTATATATATATATATATAAGTATACATATGTATTCATATATACACACAAGCGCATATGTGGCACATGAGTCTGACATATGCATATATGTAGAATTATCCCATGCGCTGTTGCATCATGGCCCATCTGTTCATGCCATATGCCACACTACTTGCATTAGAGTACAGTATCGTATAGTACACCATAGTATAGCACAACATAGTATGGTACATTACAGTACAGTATAGTATAGTGCAGCATCGTATAGTGTATGATTGCATTGTAAGATATGGCCGAGTTCACGTTACGTTGTAGTAGTTCATGTTATACAATATTGATGTTTATGTTACGATGAGGCACGATATGGATGGCATGGCATGACAAGATATGACACGATATGATACCAATCTAGTGCATTTTGTATTGAATTTATGATGCGAGTTTGATGTTGTCGCACGCTATCACAAGTTGTACATTTAATGCATATACTCAATGTGTATACTTATATAAGAGAGAGGCATATGCTGAAGTTTAAAGCATATAAGCATATATATATATATATGTATACATATATCAGACA